TTTTTTCCTGGTAATTGATTGCGCAGACCGCCAAAGAAAGAATGTATGGTTTTTGACGCGCCATTCATTCCTTTTTTCCATCTCATGAAGTCAAAATTATAGTTTGGACTACCTGTGTAATATTAGTCTCAAAGACTGGCGTTGTAGCTCAAATACGAGAAATAAATAATAATGATAATAATAAAAAATGAATTAATTATATTGTTAGAATACTGTTACATGTATCTACGGAGAACTTTGGATTTCGAATTTTTGAAAATATGATATCTTCCAGTGGCGAGGGCCGGGGGTGGATACAGGGGTTCCGGAACCCCCCTTCCGTAGCAGACGATTCGAAGTCTACAAAGCAGTTAGGGCCAAACATTTTTATTTTTTTACATCCTACCTAAAATAATTTTATTTACAATGATTTGTGTGGTTGTAAAAAATATTGAAGTTCATACTTTGACCGTGTAGTAMAAATATTGTGTGATTCAGTTTCTGGGTGATTCCATAGTTTTCTGGACCCCCMTCGAAGGCTCAGGTTATGTGACGACCGAATGGTGTTACGTAACACTTCACTTGTCTTCACAAGAATCTGTCAAGGTTGCCGGCTGGGAATAAMGTTTTAACCCAAACCAACGCCCCCTCTAGTAAATTCTCAAATCGATGGATTAGCTTAAMGYTATTCAGACAGCTTCGTTCATRCACGATTTTTAACCGATTTATACTTTCATTAAAGAATTTACCTTAAACTAAGAACGTAATGTAGAATTCACTGATAATATAAGCAAAACAATCTATTGTCTAGAGGTCTCGTGATTCATGACTTACATATTACTACTTCTACGTAACAGCTGTCACTTCATGGTCCGAGAAAATTGACCAATAAGAGAACAGCTTACAAAATCGATGCATATAATTACTACAGGCGACATCTTGTTCGCCCTCTACTGGACTGACTCTCAAGCCTTGGACTTTGGACAAGGTCTATTTACCGGATTTGACGATATAAAAGAACCTAAAAGCCAAATAAAGTTTTCCACGACGTATCTACGTACTGCCATTGGACTTGTTAGCAAGGATATTGTATTGAAATGAAATTTTTTGTGTTTGTTTTGACGGTGGTGTTGTTGGGGCTAGCACAGGTACAGTTATTACACAACTTTGAAMTGAATGCCTATTTTCTTTCATTTTTTGATAATGCTGTCTTCAGTGATTTTAAGATTTATTAGGAAGTTACGTAGAATGCTAGGATTAATGACCAAAATCATTGATTAAGCATAATGCGAATTKTTAGTGATGCACTTGCTGTAGATGGTCACGAGGACAGCGATGTGGTATTCAATGAGATACGATATCTAAATGATGTTTATATATTTTTTTATCAGGGGGATGATAATCGAATTCATAAGAAAGGTTACTGTGTTTGGTATGATCAATGTCTTAATCAGGGAGGAAGGACGTTGAATTGTCTCTACAATGGCCCTGCAAAAACAATGAACGACACCAAGGGCCTTGAGCTCCTCAACAAAATTTGTCCAAAGTATGCTGCCGATAGGAAGACCTGTTGCTCAACWAGCCAGCTYAAGACTCTTGATGATAATCTAAACACTTTAAGACAGTTTGCAAGTCGGTGCCCAGCTTGTCTGACAAATTTGATTGACATGTTTTGCGAATCAACCTGCAGCCCTGATCAGTCTGTTTTCATGGATCCAGTAATGCTATTGCCTCCTTTTCCAATGCCAGGTCAAAATCAGTCCATCCTGAGTATCAACTATTATGCTTCTCCTGAATTCAAGAAAGGTGTATTTGATTCATGTAAAGATGTTGTTTTCCCAGAAAACAATGAGAAAATCCTTAATCTCATTTGCGGAGAGAGTGCAGAAACATGTACCCCCGAGAAACTAGTAACATACATGGGCAGTACAAGTAATGGGATGTCTCCATTTGATATAATCTTTCCTGAAGTGATCCCTCAGRACMTGACATGGATGAATGCAGAGACGTTCAAGTGTAATGAAAGCTTTGTCAATCCTTGGACCAATAAAACACAGCTAAAATGCAGCTGTCAAGACTGTCAATCATCATGCCCAGTGCTCCCCCCTGAACCACAAACAGGCAACCATAAGACCATCCTTGGATTACGAGTTCTATCGTTTTCTCTTCTTCTCATTTATTTGGCTTTCTTGTTCACATTCATACCAATTAGCTTCTACCTGATATTGCAAAGAAGAAAGAGTTATACACGCATCCCTGATGGACCTGAGCCAGTACCCTCTAATATGCCATACACAGATGGCAAAGCTCCAAACGCTCTCAAAGTACAAACAATTCGAAGACCAGGGTGTTGTGAAAAGATGGGATTCTGGATGGATAAGAAATTGAAAGATCTGTTCTTCAAGTGGGGGCAATGGTGCAGTCTACACCCATTCATTGTGATAATTGCCGCTGTCTTGTTTGTTGGGATTTTAGCAGGAGGACTGAAGTTCTACAAGGTTACAAAGAATCCTGTGGATTTGTGGTCAGCGCCTGGAAGTACTGCCAGAACGGAAAAGAACATCTATGATAAAAAGTTTACTCCATTTTATCGTACAGAACAGTTGATCATAACGGTGAACCCTGATTATCCTCAGAACAACACAGGATATCATCAGTATCCTGACAGTAAATTCATTCCCTTTGGAAATGTTTTCCACTTGGACTTGTTGAATCAGGTAAGGGAAGACTAACTAGTTTTGATTGATTTATTTACAAAATGTTTTTGAACGTCACTTCTTCACGGTTGCGTCTGCCATCTTGAAAGGTAATTGTGTCTTTGCATGAAAGCAAGATGATCTTTGAGTTGACAATGTTAGAAACCTTCTTTCACACCTACATACAATTAACTCACAGGTACAGTCAAAACCTGTTTATAAGAACACCTATTTTGGCGGTTCAGGCTGATTTGGTTCTTATATAAAGGGTTATAATCTGCAAAATCAGCCTCTAATTGTTCTCAAGTGTTCTTAAAAAAAGTGTTCTTAAATAAGGAACATACTTAGCTACCAATAGATGAAATCAATATATATGCACACAATTTTAAGTAATCAATACAATGATGTAACTATTTCGATTAAAAAAAATGATAAAGCAATGTGTGCAATAAAAAATTGGTTTGATCTTTGATATGTTTCCGTATAAGAACAACTTTCATTTTTCAGGCTGAATGTGTTCTTGTATATAGTATGGCACAGGGAATGGTGAAGAAGATTAATTGACTTATGCTGTTGGGGTTGCTAAAACAAAAGGACAGATGCTTGAAAATCAATTACTTATCTAGATAAATATGTATTATCAGACATTATTACAATTTGTTAATGCCCACATTGAGATTATTTGATTTTTCAGTCTCTAGATCTCCAAATAGCATTGACATCAATGAAGGTCCCCTACACAGAAAATGGACGCACTACCAACATAACACTTGAAGATGTCTGCTTTAAGCCTCTTGCTCCTTACAATGACAAATGTGTCATCCAGAGTATCTTTCAATATTTCCAAAACAGCAAGACAAAGCTGAATAAATGTCTAACAGACCAGGAAATGGTTTGTAGTGAACACCCTGAGCAGAACTTTATGTCTGACTTCCATGATCACGTCCGCTACTGTACCAGGTGAGATGATAATAGTAATAATAATTTTTATTATGATATATAAATATGTAGAGAACATAACATTRTGTTTTTAATTTGAATAAAGATGAATGAAAATTGGTCCCATGTGGATTCATCTTCATTGTGTTCTGGTTCATTGATACTCAAAAATTGTCTCTAAATAGCCACTGTTTGTTAGTATTTAGTCTAGATTTTAATGGTTTTCCTGCGTTTTCCTCTAAAATGGATTTCTAAATTTTAAACACAGTGCCCCGTCATCCATTTATGATAAGAAGTTTGGTGGTATTCCGTGTCTGGGTGAAAACGGTGTTCCAGTCAACCCYAACATTATTCTGGGAGGTTTCMATGGCACAGAATACAACATGGCCAAYGCYATGATTATCACATTTGTTGTCARCAATCACATTGATGAAAGCAAAAATRTCAAAGCTGAGGCTTGGGAGAAGGCATTCATAGAGTACATGAAGAACTATGTGAAAGACCCACAGAATAGCAACTTAGTCATYAGTTTTTCATCTGAAAGATCCATTCAAGATGAGCTTGATAGAGAGAGTGCAACTGATGTTTTAACCATTCTTGTTAGCTACACTATTATGTTTGTTTACATCACTATCGCCCTGGGGCAGGTGAATTCTTGTAGTAGGATATTGGTAAGTTAAAATGATGGAAACTATAGCAGTGTGAATAGACGAGTGAAGGTATCCTTTAGCAGCATGATTGTGATCAGAAAAAGAATGTATACAAATGTAGCCAAGGCTGCTCGGATTCACGATATACATTTTCAACATCATAGCAGCCTTGGCTACATTTGTATACATTCTTTTTCTATAGCAGTGTTTTTAAAGAAACAGTTTTGTAAAAAGATAAATTGTTCTTCAGATTGATTCAAAGTTCACTCTTGGATTCTGTGGCATCATTATCGTCCTGTGCTCTGTGGTTTGTTCTATTGGTTTTTGGAGTTACGTCGGTGAACCAGCAACTTTAATCATCATTGAGGTCGTACCTTTCCTGGTTCTTGCTGTGGGTGTTGATAACTTCTTTATTCTAGTGCAGGCATATCAACGTCTTAACCGTTACAGTAATGACGATATCCCAACTAAGATTGGACATGCTCTTGGTGAAGTTGCCCCTAGTATGCTGCTGTCGTCATTAGCTGAGTCTGTGGCGTTTGCTTTTGGTGGGTAATAATACTGACCATCATTGTGAGCTATTAGTCATGTGACAAGTCTATTGCTATTTCTGTCTTACCATTTATCTATGATTCATATTTATCAGATTTTGATATTTATGTAATATACAGCCTTTTGCAAAAATTATGAGAATTGTCGAAATATCTAAATATCATAATATCGAGTGCATGATGGGTAATCCCGAGCGAAAATTATGAGAATTGTCGAAATATCTAAATATCATAATATCGAGTGCATGATGGGTAATCCCGCGCGATGCCCTTAGTCCCTTGTCTTTGTAGTTTAGTTTTTTTTTGGCGACAGACTTATCTGTAGTTCTGAACAAATTCTAGCAAATCCCGCGTGTTCCGGACAATATGTGGATATAGATATTATGATATTTAGATATTTAGACAATTCTCATAATTTTTGCAAAAGGCTGTATATATATATATATATATATATATAAATAGAATAAATGAAGAAAAAGCCACGCAACTTGTAACTAGGTTTTCTACTTTTTAATGAACGTTTCGGCACTTCGGCCTTCTTCAGCAAACTCCTATACACCTAACCAAAAAAATTCTGCAACTTTCAATATATATATGTCTATTGTTTGCCTATTGTTTAATCTCTCAAGAACAAAAGACATATATATATATTAAAAGTTGCAGAATTGTTTTGGTTAGGTGTATATAATGTAACATATAAAATATGAGCAGGAGGCCTTTATGGGCATATGAAACTGCGAACTGCAAGCAGGCAGTTTTAGACCCCATAAAGGTGGGAGGCGAATACTTTATAATAATTGCTTACCAAATTCCAACTTCATGGATGACATATCATTTGCAAGAGAAAATTGAACTTAAAGTCATATKCAAATCAGGACAAATCTCTTGTTCATATAAAGATGCGGTCACGACAATGATTTTCCATTGTGTTTACCTTATGAATTATTAATGAAWACAATGTTTCTTCCCCCAGGTGCTATGTCCAATATGCCTGCTGTGAAGGTGTTTTCTCTCTATGCTGCTGTTGCAGTCTTTATTGATTTCATTTTCCAAATCACATGGTTYGTCGCATTGATGTACCTTGATGCTAAACGACAAGAAAGCAATCGCATAGATATCCTGTGCTGTGTTAAAGATAAGAACAGCATTGCTACCTATGAAGAAGGTTTCTTGTACCAATTTATAGARAAGTTCTATGCCCCTGCATTGCTGTCAGACTACGTGAGACCTTGTGTGATGGCTTTCTTTGTTGGTACTCTGTTTGCAAGTATTGCAATGTCTGCGCAATTGTCAGTTGGTTTGGATCAAGAGCTGGCCCTTCCAAAGGTTTGTGTCAGATAGGAGTGTATGCCACTGATTGTCACATCATGTTTAGATATAGTGTTTTTGACTGTTTTAAAAACTTAGACTCTTGCAATTATTTAAAGAMTTTTGCAAACACCAACACTTTTTGTTCCTGCGAATCAAAATGACAACTAAAACAAAATTTCTTCCTCAAAACTGAACATTTATCTGTGAATTTGGTCAGTTAACAAAATACAGATTACTCTTGAAAAAGCTAGAAGTTTAAATTGAATAAAAGAAAAAACATTTAACCATGTTTAGAACTTCCCTGTAGTTGTAATTTCAAATGATGCTATGTAATAATCCACATAACTAAAGAAAAGTAAGAAAAATCTTTCTTAAGACCATCAGTTGTAGAACTTACAGTATAACATACAAACTGGTCTGAATTTTTGGATTTACTTGGATGTACATTCAATCATCTTTTACTTCTTTTGAATTAGTTTGATGAACATTTTTAGGATTCAATCATCTCTTCTTTTGAATGAGTTCAATGTACATTTTTTAGGATTTATTCATCTTTTACTTATTTTGAATGAATTTGATGTACATTTTTTAGGATTCAATCATCTTTACTCCTTTTGAATGAGTTCAATGTACATTTTTAGGATTCATTTCTGCTGAATTGGTTCAAAGATATGAAGCAATACCTCCATGTTGGTCCACCTGTATACTTTGTCCTTGATGGTCCGTATGATTATGAGCATAAATTAACCCAGAATATGATATGTGGATCCGCTGGATGTGATTCTAATTCTCTTGTCCAACAAGTCTTYACTGCTTCACTGCGACCTAACAGGTGAGAGACACGTTGTGTATAGTTCAAGCCATTTATAGATTGCTTGTAGATGACATATAGTCAATGCAGATTTATTAGTTGTCCTGGGATTGTTGGGTGGAAACGGTAAGCTAAGTATGCAAATAATAATAAGCCTATACCCGATACAGGTGAAACACACTAACAAATGTAGAAGAAACAAATAGAAAATAGAAAAAAATATCAGCTTTCTYGTGATGGTACTCTCTTTCATGCTCTCTGCTCACATAATGCATCCATCATTTATCATGTAATCAAACTAGTAAGTAATGGGTGCCCTAACCACCCTCCCCACCCTCTCCACCCACATTGAATGACACTAGTCCTCAGTCACATTGATCAATCTGGAGGCAAGTCATTGCTTCAAATTTCACATTTGTTTGTGTACAATAACGCAATATTACAATAATGAATSCATGGAAAAATCTMTAATTAATTTTAATCTTAAAATTTGGAATCACTTCCGCTCCCTTCCATATTATTATTATTATTAAAATTTGCATGGCTTTTAGCTTCATGGCATCAAAGCTGCAACATTTTTGTGAACAGTTATCAGTTTGGAAGGCTGTTATTATGGCTTCAAAATCAAATTTATTAAAAGCAATGATGTTTGTTTTATTCAATACAGCTCAAAGATCAAAATGTCAGCATCTTCATGGGTTGATGACTATTTTTCCTGGCTGGATCCCAGCAGTACCTGCTGCCGTGTCCTTCACAACAAGACATGTACAACGTTTAATGTAACAGACTCCAATAAGACCCATCAGATAACGAATTGTACAATCGATGATAAACCCATCATGCCTTTAGTCTTATGCAATGCTACAGGTAAGAAAACTGAGAAACTCATGACCAATACAGACAACAAATGCAACTGAAATGAAATTCTAAGATAGACTGTCGTCAATCAATCAAAGAGCTGTAGTCTTACTATGGGTTGGTTGTCCCCAGGACTTATGATAGTGATACGGCCTTAGTTTTTACTGTAATTTAATTGAATTTTCATTTCCCATTTTAAATATTTTGAGAAAATAAAAATATTAGAAACAAAAAACTTTGACTTATTCTAATATTTATTTATCTGTTTACTTTTCTATTTTTTTTTTCATGTTTTTCCATAACAGAACGTTGGAAAATTATCTCCTAAAATAAATGTAGCCTTCAAATKTTAAGTTTATTTCAAATCTAGGCAATTATCAATGTTTTATGTGAAATTGTAATTATAAAATATAGAATTTTAGATAGATAACAACAGTTTTTTTTTTTTGCTTTATAGATCTGTTTTTTCATGTTTTTCTTTTTTTTCTGCAACAGAACAGTGTATGTGAAAATTAAATTAATCATATGAGGAAGTTGCTGATCCCATTAAATACTGTCTGATGAGTGCGTAGCACAAAACTTGGAGCAACAGAAAATCTTGCCTCTTTGATATTATATATATAAAAATAAAATTATAAAATAAACTATAACAGTAAATTTGTTGCTTTATAGATCACACGCATGACGCTCAATGCACACCTTGTATGAATAATTCACAGTCAAACGAACGTCCCACACCCAAACAGTTTGACATGTTCTTACCACTATACCTCCAAGATATCCCAGAAACCACCTGTGCGAAGGGCGGCCATGCAGCATATGGTAATGCTCTACAGTTCAACAAAGATCCAGCAGCAAAGCATCTTGTCAATTGTAAGCCAATTTACATAGCATATAAATATCAATGTTTTTGAAAACCTCACATAGGTTGTCTGTACCTGGAGAATAGAAATAAAAGAAAGGAATAGTGCTTAGAAGGGGGTTAGTCCAGGAGAAGGACCTTTAATTTCCAACCACACAGGGATTCGAACTCACAATCCTCAAATTTGTAGTACCAATGCTCTACCAGCTGAGCTACAAGGCCAGACTTGGAGTAGGTGGGGGTGAAATATTCACATCTGTACCTAGAGGAAGCTAGTGTTGCATCAAGCTGATCAAATTAGCAATTCTCCCTCAATACTACTGAACACACACYTAAGGGCCAGTCCTGTTAGGAGAGAATGGATTTGCCTTTTTTGTAGAAAAATATGGTACCAAGCTAGCAGAGTCTTGTTTGCTTTCTCTTGTGGGAAAATATTATAGAGACAGAGAAAAGTGGAGAAAGTCATGGAGWKAGTACTATGCCGAAAGCAGTKTGTYCTTTGCCTCCTGTAGTAGGWGCTCATATCACTGAKAGAGCATTGTTCTTAMACCAAATTGAGTGTAATTATTTTTGAAAAGTAAACAGTTTTCAACAATGTTTTCTTGCAGCGTCATACTTCATGTCTTATCATACTATTCTAAAGACWTCTGATGATTTTGTGGCTGCTCTGAAGAGTGCAAGAAAGATAGCTGACAATATAGCTAAAACTATCAATGACCCAAATGTCAAAGTGTTTCCTTACAGGTAATAAAAACTATCAATGACCCAAATATCAAAGTGTTTCCTTACAGGTAATACAAACTATTCATAGAGAAGCAAAACTCATTACACCTTTTCTTGACTGGGGGAATAACTTTTGAATTTCATAATATGTTTGAATCAAGTCGTTCTTTGTTTTGTTTTTTGTTTGTTTTTGTTGGTAGGTTATTCCCCAAGGCACTCTTGTTTTATTATTATCATGTGACAAGCTAAAATCATGAAATTAATCGAGTTTTGTTGTTATTTTTTAGTGTTTTCTACGTCTTCTATGAACAGTATCTCACTATCGTGAAAGATTCCTGGCAAAATCTTTTGTACTGTGCTGGTAAGAAAATATCAAACACTGTTGTTGTACAAACTATTTGTATCCATTCATTTGATTAGAATAACATTGAATATGTCCCATACATTCATTTTTTTACTTACTCAACTCTTCAACTCTTCATATTTTAATTTGCCATTCATATTTTCATTGGTCCATTTTCCCATTCATATTTTCATTGGTCCATTTTCTCATTCATATTTTCATTTGT